AACGATAGGAGAGAACAACTAGAAATGGTCATCATACGTCCTTTTGCTTGAGAAGCACCAAAAGTAAAATTAAATTGTGAAAACAAAAAAATAAATTGAAACTTACACCAAATAATCGAGTTAAGTTGAGCGAAAATTTTCGCACACTATCAAGAAAGAAAAGAAAAATTCCCGTCAGTATGACAGCACTATCGGAACAGCCTAATGCGCATAAATAAAGATTTGTTGACGTTCGCATTTCTGAAAATTACTTTTATAATTCTTATTACATCCTGTTTTTTATAATTTCATCAATATCTTGATTTCAACACACAAGTAAGCAATTCTCACTGTCATATACTTTGTTTTCATCTAAACTCTTGACACTATGTACACTGGATTCCCACAATCCAGTGTAATGCCTGGGAAATAGGGCGTAAAAAAAAACCAAACAAATTTGGTCCTTGAACTCTGCCGACTGGTAACCTTTTTCGACAACAAGACCCAATCTACCTCCACTACTTTTTGATATTCAACTGATAATTTTACTTATTTTTATATACTATATATATTTTATGTACAGGTCCTATAGATCTTTTATATATTTTATATTATTCAAAGTGGGCAGGTTATTGTGTAGGGCTCAAAAGTTTAGAAGTTCAGGATTGGAAGGTTTTCGTTGGTGCTCGAATTCACTTTGCAATTGTGTACGCCCCGAAATTAAGTGATATCACTAATTACACCGCAATCATGAAGCAAACTTCCGAAATGACTCACATCAATTTGAAGTTCCCTCCACTGCACGTGCCCCACCCATTACAAGGCCCCGCCCCTATTAGAGTCATTCCAAATTTTTAGATACAGTAAAGAAGACAGTGAGCATCAGGGGTTGCGCCCCTTCCCCATTTTGGATTTCTTTTTACCCGAACTTCTTCTCTGATCCTGACAGGCGGCTACAGGGGCACTCTGGGCAAGACTGGCTGCCGAGAGGAAGGAGCAGAGGGGTCACCAGCGTTCAAAGGCAAATGTTGTTGTAAATTTACAGGTCCACAGATGACAGGGTAATGGCCAAAATATTACTGCTGTAGCTAGAACTGATGCATGTAGAGGGTCACTATGACTTTATCAGAATGGGGCCCGAACTGTGCCATACAAAAATCTGAGCACCTTTCTAGTCGTCGGTTATTTGGCGGTCTGTTAAAGTTGAAAAACAAAGCCAAAGTTATGTGGGCTCCACATCAGTTGCTTACATAATCCTGAATGGAAGAGAAGGACTAGTCTAGTACAAAGAAGTAGTCAAGTAAAGTGACGTCAATGGAGATTACCCTATGAAAATCTTTTCTACCCCTCTCAAACATATTTTCTCATTTCGAAGCTGTCTAGACGAGTGGCGGGTGTTCTACCAGTAACGTGACTGGATTGAAGCTTTGGAGCAGATGTCACAAGGCTGGGGCAAATAAAATGGATGAACTGGTAGTAGACGAGAAAAAACACCCAAAGAATACTCAAAACTTCTATCAAAGAGGGCATCAGCCCTTTTGACTAGTTGAGTTGACAATGACATGTTTGTCTGTCTTCCATATGTATTGTTTATAACTCGTTTCTGACAACTTCGGGCGCATCTTCCTCAGAGACACGTCAACGATCAAGCTAAATACTTTGACCATGAGGACCTCCCACGTTGACTGTTGCTTCAGTCCTCTTTTACGAATTCACGGTTTTTTGAAGCTTATTTGAAGTTTCAATTTCTGTTGGTTTTCCAAATTCTGGAGGGAAGTCACCACCAAAAATCAAGCTGAAAACTTCCAAAGTTTTGGAGTTAAGCCACTCTACACATTGGCATTCACCTATGAACAAATATTCCTTTACACTTTTAACTTTTACAAAAATGACATTCTAGTATGTTAAATGAAGGGGATCTTCAAATTCCAGTAGGCCCACTACGCCTCTTATGGATTGATTGATTTATTTATTTGATTTATGATTATTGATTTACGGGTTTACTTGATTGATTTACGTAACCAATGTACAGTAATGAAGATGAGTTAGTTGTGAGTAAATAGGTAATAAGGAAGTAATTAGCTAAGCCGGTCGGAAAAACCGGAAAAATGGTCCTGAAAATCCTATGCTTCTGTTAAGCTCGAGGCCTAGTAATCGGTAGGACACCGTTACTCAGTAAGAAGTAAGTAGGAACATTTGAATATTTTCTAAAATATGTAGTTACATCACCTGAGCCCGCGGGCCCAGGTGATGTAACTACATATTTCAAAAACTCTTCAAATGTTCCTATGGACCAGAAATTTTAATCGAGTGCGTGGTCCATCCAAAGAATCAGTTGAATCACTTCACAAATAAGTCCTGCATAGGACTTCCTCAACAAGTGTGCTAGACGGTACGCTGCGCAATCGCGCGCATCTGTTCTGCATTTTTGGGCACTCTGTTTTCTATGTTTAGTGAACCAGAGACAATATTAGAGATACATAAACCTAAATTTAGACAACAATACCAGGTCTGCTGTAGACGAACGCCGAAAGGCCGTTTCCAACGAGTCCAAATAAACCGATCAGAGGCAGAATAACACCGCTTACAATAATATTGTATGTTACATAGTCAGATTCACTCAAAGGGTGATCACATATACCACACTGAAATTGAAATTTCAGTAATAGTACAGCTTTTTTCGAAAGTAAGTTGATTCGAAAGAAATTACCTGTGGTAGGCAACCAGTAAAGTTAACTGCGTCAATGATTCCGACTTGTCTGAGCCGTTCAAGTGATGCATAAAGTGGCTTTGGACTGCAGTTTGGTGGATACATAGCATACGATGTATTCATGGCATCAGAGTAATGGACTCTGAAATAACAGTAGGTAACGATGTGTCGAGAAAGTAGCTCAGGATAATCAGTAAAGTAATCCATCCATCTAGGAAGCGACAAAATAAAATCACGAAGTAGAAAAACTGAGGATTTAGAGCTGTAATCATTCTGTAGCAGAAATATGCAAGTAACGAGCATTCATCGTAGGGAAGCCAGTAGAAAAATCTCGTTGGGATCATTAGAAGGGACAGAATGGCATAGAGGGGCTCTGCAGAGCAGGTTTTATACAGGGAGAGGACGAGGATTGAGTAGAGGAAACATACTAGTCAAGGATGACCGGTACAACCGTACAACCACCACCTACAAGAAATGGGCCCCAACATGATCCCGAGTCTGAGAAGCCGATCTAGCACTACACCCTGTCCTCTTCTTCTTCTTCCTTAATCTTTTTTCCATTTTCTGATGTCGTACGACTTGAACAGCGTGAATGGAGAAGGAGTGTGAAGCTACAACCCCCCTCCCCATCCATTTTCCTCCTCTCGCCATCAGTGGAGTGAGTAGGAGGCTCACTGTCAATTACTCATCTCAAGCAGCTTGACCCTTTATGCAATGTCCGGAGAGGCCCAGATGGTAATGTAGGGCCAGGAATATAAAGTGGTAATAAAGTAGATAGTCCAAATCAATCACGGCACTTAGAATAAGCCATGTGTGTGGCTTCACATGAAAATCTTATCAACATTGAGTGTAAGTTTCACTTAGACGAGGAACAGCGAAGCACAGCCAATTCTGAAAATCTGCGTCGCCATATCACAGACAACAGACTTCAACAAACTCGGTGATGAAGAAGTGGCAGGAAAAGGGCAAGTAAAAGAGTTTACCCGAGTCACAAAAGTGCTACTCGGCTTTCCAAGTCAATGCATCACTCAAGTTTTCACAGAGTGATCCGCTTCTGAAGCAAACAAGTATGGCTATGTCCTAAGTAACTTATGAGGCCATACTTAATAGTTAAGGTTATAGTCGGAAACACTGGTAAATAAAGGCGATAGTCCAACAGCATAGGTGGAAGTAAATAAATCTGGAGAAAAGAAACAGAATGAGAAGAAGCAAAGAGAAAGCCTGCAAGACTAAAACCTCATTTAGCTTTTGACTTTAGATGTTATAGTTATTAACTTCCAAGAAATTGTCAACTGGAATGCGTTAGTTTCTGATATTTTAATGAATTTAATTATGTATAATGTTTCGCTGTATAAATTTTGTTTTTACTATTTCCCATAAAATTCTGCCACTTCCCATCTTACTGTAAGTTGAGTCAAGCCAGCTTTTCTACATAGTGGAGGTGTGGGAGCTGGTGATGGGCGGAGCTCATTTAGGAGCTAGTTCCTCCAACTCATGCCACTCAGCTGAGGATCCGGTCCAGATCGTCATATGAAGGGATTTCCAAGTGAAGAAAAGGAGGATTGATCCAATCGGTGCGCTGTAGAAGCTGAGTTTGATACATCCTCCTCCACATTCACCGGAAAAGTTGTGTAACTGAGAAGGGCGAGTCGATGTTTATAGAATTGCAATGCTACCAAGAGCTACAAAGGTTTTATATCCCTAGCAAGTTTGAAAGAAAAATTCGAAAGTTGGGAAAGTAACTTTACATTCTTTGTGCTAAGGATGGCATCAAACGTAGCTTTCTGATTACAAAAATATAGCAACTGTCATATAACCCTGCTGAGAACAACAGAACGGTCGCTTTTTCGGAAGCAGCTTGCAACGGGAGCGGAATTCGTAATGGTTGTTCCTCTATTCGAAAACCGTAACGGTTTGCGTGCAAAGATGGACGTGAAATTGCATCAGTGAACCTTAGCAACAGGACAAGCTCGTCGACTCCGCCCACAGTGGCGATCAGCCCGCCCAATCGAAGATACCTTCCATTCACTTCGTCGCAATATATATAAAAAGCATATAGGCATTCATCCAAATTGAAAAGTCAATCAATAACTCTATAGAACCCCAATTTATCTGAAATGGAGCTGAGGAAAATATGATCAAGTAAAAAAGAATCGAGTAATGAATGATTTCTTAACGATAACGTAATTGGACAAAAGACTAGAGAGCAGTTGAGTACAGTATCCAATGGTGTTGAGCACCCAGAATCTATTTTCGTTTTTTGAAATTTCCGCTACTCAACAATATTCATCATCTCTAACAGTGGGGAATACAACATTTCATAGAGCATCTACAAGACCCGCTCTAAAAAAGAACCCCCATCTTCTTCAGTGGAAAATTTAAATGACGAAAAATACGTGTAGGGCAAATTTATGGAGTTAGAAAGGCAGAATTATAAAATTTCTGCTAATCGATAGGGGCCACCAGTGCGCTTCTCGCTTAGAACATTGAAAGAATTGAAGATTATCGAAAAACTCACTGAAACGTTCTCATACTTGGGAATTCATTGAGGACGTCCGAATAAATAAAGAATATAATAGCGTTTGAAAACATCAAGTAGGAGGAGGGCGTAAGAGGACAGTCTATGTTACCAGTAATGTGACAAATGAGTAACTTACTACTAGTTCAGTGCTATTGAAGGAGATAGCATCAATTTCATTAAATTTTACTGTTTTATATATGGATGTTATGTTTTCTGTTTATAGGTGCCTTTTCATTACATACATCATCTAGAAAGTTGGCTAACTGGTTAGTTGGTGATTCTCGAGTAACTAGATTTCCCAGATCTACGAATAAATTTTTACGAGTTTCAAATAATGGATTCCTTTTAGATGAGGAAAAGCAAAACTGAAAAAAAAACTATTTACAACAAAGTTATCCTGAATTCCTAATTAAATTTGCAGCTGAAGATGGAAGGCAACCTTCGGATCTGAGTAATGAGGGTGTAGGACAAATGAAAAGCAAACCAATGATATACCGGCGGAAGTCGGAAATCGGAAATCGAAGAATAGTTTTGACTGGCACTGACACGAACATTTATCCAAACTGTCATTTTTACTTCAGGAAAGGAACACTGTAGTACCAAACAAATTGTTCAACTCTTCAACAGCTGACTAGAAGTAAAGTAAGCGGAAAAGCGTTTAGCTATAGCTATAGCTATGAGCCTAAGCCACGCACACGGCTTACCATCGAAATCTACAAGACGACAGATTTGGTAGTTCAGAGGCGTCTAAGCGTCAATGGTACATAGTGTTCAGGCCAAGGTGTTTGTCTTCCCAGAGAGTAAGAAAGGGCTGGGCTCGACAGAACTGAGGGCTCAGGGGACCTCAGGAGAAACCTCTCCACACGTTGTTGTCCATTTCAATGTAAGCAACTGAACAGAGTGGCGGAAATGCAGAAGCGACGAGTGTCATCAGATTACGTCGGCTATCCAATCCCAGAACTAACTATCAGTAAGATGTCACCATGAATTCACTCCCAGTCGGTCCCTGTATCGAGGGTCGAATGAATTATGAAGTAGTCTCAATGGGGAATTTTTCGCTGCTGATCGGCCTCATACCGCGCTTCTAGGTGGCCCTGAAGATTTCAAAGTCCCTAATTGGACAGTGGTTAGGCACGAACCTCAAAGTAAAGTGAAGAAAAGTAAGTGTAGTTAGAGCAAAAGGGAAGGTAACGTTCTTCAGAGCTGAGAAACAATCACAACACGCTCTCAAAGTTGCGTCACACAGCTCTTTTTGTTCCGAAATTATTCACGTGATTGATAGTGGCTAGCACAGCTGATCTCATATACAGCAGATTGATGTTCACAAAAACGTGCTCATACAAATGGCATCATATCAAGCTGTTTTCACTCCAATTTGAAAAATCATAGGACCTAGTAAGAGCCGGATTCACACTGCATTCTTATATTCTGAAGCGACTCTAAAACGAAATCACTAACTCACTACAAGCACAGCGGCATTTACAGTATCCGTTTAAGTGTAGCAGTGAACCTTGTGATTGGTCAGTGTATGAATCCACCAATCACGTGAACCGCTGGCACTGAACCGTGACAGTGAACAGCTGGGTTCGGCGTGACCGCTCCATAAATTACTGCGAAAAAATAAAAAATAATGGAAAAATTCAATTAGTCTAGGAGACTGTGTTAATCAAGGGACCACGGTAGACTCATTGAAATATGATTGCCTCCCACTTTAGAAAGTTTTTTTTTGGGGCGGTTTTCTTTTTGAGGGGAGAGTGTCATATAGACAATTCTCACAGGGGACAGAATAAATTTTAAGAGGGATCACTATCTATACGTCAGAGAAGGGGACATGCTTGTCACAGGATTCTATGGGATTTTAAATGAGCGACAAGTTGGGCGACTGACGTTTCGACGAATACTTTGAAAGGCTTGTTCACTGAATAGGGGCAAAAGAGGACAGCGGAAATGTTCTAGCACTCAAACGGGAAATATTTCCTAAGGCGACCTTCCTAGAAAAATTTCTTCCTTGAAAACCCTGAAAGCCACTAGCATCTGCCATGCATTTGGGAAGGCCAGAGCTAGAGAGGCGGTTTGATCACTTAGTATATGTCTGTGCCAGTAATTGTTGAGCTGTAGATGGCCATTTCTGTTCTCATTACTACCATCAAGTAATTCTGTTCAAACCATGCTACTTCGAAAAACAAATGTCCCCAGGGGGAGGGAGGGTTAGCAGAACCTGACCCGACCTGCCCAAATGGGAACAGCTTTTCTGCTGTATACTTCCTCCAGCTGAAAACGTATAAGGAGAAGAAAAAAGTAGTAGCGAGTACAGTAAAGTATTGGAAAACTAATGTTTGGAAATCGAAGACGAAACAGTAATGAACGTTGGTGTCCTCAATCATGTCCATGGCCCTAAATTGTTCTTAATCAGTAGCTTGAGGCCGATTTTAGATCCTCTAGTTTTACAGGGCGGGGTGGGGCGAATTTTATCTATAGCCAAGGAGCACTCATTATCATTTTTTATAACAACTGTCACTTTTAAGACTGCATAGAGGAACTGCTTGAATGAATTATCCTAATTATTATTCATTACCTGAAACCAGTGAGCGGAATACTTTATTATGGCTGGCCAGATCGCACTATAGTAATCAAAAATCATATCCAGAGCAAACTTATTGGCAAAAGACAACTTTTGCGGGCTGAA